TTTCTTTTTTTTTTTTTTTTTGGCCAATGAACACATATGGACCTTTGAGAGTGAGAGTTATGTCTGGCATTGGGGAGGACTTGCTCATTCACAAAATGGCTCTCATGGTGGAAGGAAAGCCCCAGACAAAAAAGACAGGTGTTGCAAGGAGCACCTAGGGGGTGCTTGGGCCCACAGACTTATTGGGAACCCTAATATTACCAGATTAGAACTACATTCTTTACTTTAAATAGCTTGCTAAAATATCAAGCACTAAGAGAAAAGAGCTTTAATTTTTAGCAGTTCTTTAGTTTAAGAACCTGCCAGTACCTGTTACAGAACTGAGCCTTTAACAGTCAAAGCTGGGAAACAAATGCTGAGGACTGTAAGCAAAAGCTTACAGGAAAAGAACCCCAGCTTTCTCGTGGCAATTAACTCAACATCTCCAGCAGATTCAGTCAAATTCCTTTTTAGCAAACCCTGCTGAAAGGAACAATCTGCAAATAGAAGCCCTGGCATCAGAGAACTGCCCTTCCTTTAGCTTCTGAATAGTGAGCTCTTTTTGCTCGGAAGTATCTCATACTTAACTATAGATTCATATATTTAGCTCTGAGAGTAGACTGTAAAGGAGCATCCAGTAAGATTGTTTATATACACCCACTGCTTGGCTCAGTTTGACAGCAGAACTACAGGGAGAATCTAAACAGACCGTAAGTGTGCAGACAGGGTGGGGTCATACTGAATTGACCTCCGCATGGAACGCCGGCTGGTGACACTGCTGCTGTTTCAGGCAGGTGAGTGCCAAAAAATGTCAAATGATGGTAGATGCTGGCTTCACAGAAACACCAACCCTTTTCTCCTCCTGTTTTCCCCACTTAATGCCAAAGGTGCATTACATGAGCCTTATATTGCTTTTATTCAAGTGAAGCAAGAAAGACATGGACAGGTGAGTAAGCACACTTTTTTCATATTGTCCTCAGACATGAAAAACACTTAATGATTTCATGATAACTTGTTTGAGCATATAAATAATAAGGACTCAGTACATTTGTTGTATTTGTAAGTGTGAAAAGTTGAAAACTGAGATATAGCCTCATTACTTGAGTGTACTTACTCCAGTTAAATGGGCTTCACACCTAAACATTGCAGTTAAGTCCAGACTTTACTGGACAATTAAAACTGCTTTGGTGGAACTAATTCAATAGGTATTTCAGCCCAATGGCAGATACAGTTCTCATAGCTGAATACCCCTCCCACCTTTTTTGAATATGTGTGTGTCTCTCTAAATATCACTTTACCTCTTTTTCCATCCTCCTACAGTGATGCTTCTGCAGAAAGTTTTATTTCATGTATAGACTGAAGTGGAGTGAACAAGTGTCAGCAGAGAAAGTTTGTTGATTTAAAATATAATAGTAGATGCTGTCGGACAGTAGAGGCACTGATCTAGAAGTTACATGCAGATAAATAAACCCTGTAAGACCATTAGCACAAGGTATTTTAAATTATCTGAAGATTCCTACATTAATGTACCTTAAAATATATCAGTGCAAACTCCAGAGCTAAGCAAGCTAAGATTATAAGAACCCATATAACCCACCACAAATTCCAGGCATTTTTCTAACAGACTATTTAATAATCTTTCCAGGTAAGAGAAAACATGCGGCTTCTGTGCATTCTTAAACTTGTCCGAGGTTTCAGCAATACTGCCTTGCTGAATAAATACTATAACACAATAGCCAATTGTGCAAGTCACCCTTAGTATATAAAATATGGCTGAAACCATTTTGGAAATGATACTCAGTTTTGAATTTAACTGATGTGTGCCAGGAATGAGTAAAAAAAAAAAAAAGATGAAATTCAGCCCTAGTATCCTTTTAATTATTTGAAGGCCAAAAGCTGTGATTTGCAATCTGTAAATATTCACAGACTAAATTCAGTACTAATACTTTATCACTTTCCTATCTTGATGTTGATCCAATTCTTTTAATAAACTTCTACAGGAAGTTTTTTCTAGGCTTTGAGATTTGGTATATATACACACATATGTACGTATGTATTTTTCTATCAATGATGTAGAGTTTTTTCTCCGTGACTTTTGAGCAATTCTGCTACCTATAATTGAGTAATGTTTTATACATCTTAAAATGTGTAGAAGTAGACTGTTTCTGTAAATGTTGTAAGCCTGCCTGTTATGACTCAGATGTTACAACTGCTGCTAAGGTTTTCATTTTTTTCTTACAGCAAAGTCACATATTTGTCTTCAGTTTTAAAAATTAAGGTTGAATACTATGTAATAAAAAAAGACTATTACATTTTCAGGCATGCATATTTGGTAGCATATTTCTGGAAAACAAAAGCAAGTCAATTTTAAAACAATTCTTCAGTTTGGAGTTTTGATTTTGTTTTGAGAATGTCCCCATGATAAACCTCAAAGAATTCTATTCAAATCAGGAGGTTAAAAGGTTGGCCTCTTTGTTCTGTTTCCTGTTCGTTTGCTGCACTTTCAACATGGTTTTAATTTTCATATTCCTTGACAAGTGTGGAGACTAAAATAAAGAATACTCATAGTTCATAGCAAATGTTGTAAGACAAGCAGATACATTCATATAGCTTATAAGGACTCCCGTGAAAGCCCTTTGCATCTTTCACCATCTAGTGCAGGAAGGGAGTTTGTTGAAAGCTATTCCATGGAAAAAAGAAAGTTAGTGCCTCCAAAATAGCAATGTTGGTATGCATCTTTCTGTATGCAGGCTTACTTTCTGAAAGGGCTGCATTTCCTCAAGACATCTGGTGGGGACTGTATGCCAGTGGAAGTTGGGGATGAAGCAAGCTGTTGATTGGGCCTCCCATTGTCATTATTTATAACATATCCCTTTTCTGAGTCTAATGCATCTTCTCTCTTCTGTTGCTCCACATTTAACTGTCACACTAAAGCATGATTCCAAGTATGGTTATTTTAAATACCATAATTAATATTTACTTTTATTTATCAGTTGAATGTGTGATAACTTGTGGTTAGGACAACCTCAGATGTGAAAGGAGCACACAAGTCCAAAGCTTAATCTAAACTTCTTCTCCTTTCTAACAGCTGTCCAGTCAAACACAGACTTAATGTAATCATTCATTCAGGAACAGATTGTGTAAAAAGAGATAAATCATCTATTTTATGGAGCTACTCAAATGCAGTAAAATCTAATTTCTGCCTTTGCAGTATGGAATGATGTTCTTGGAAAAAACCATTCTGTGAACAAAAGAGGACTGCTTGAATTATACGGAACCATAAAATGTGGCACAAGACGATTTTCTTTAGCCTATCTAGGTTATGGATGCTATTGTGGTCCAGGAGGAAGTGGGTGGCCTAAGGATGAGACAGACTGGTATGTAAACCACTTCTCTCTATTAAGTTAACCTTTCCACTACATTCTTCAACTGGATTAATCCTACTCTGTTTAATACATTTTAAATGATACTTTGAGATAAGAATATCTGGGGAAAAAAATAGCATAATGTGATAGCAAAAGAAAAGGGAAAGCAAGTACCAAGATAGTTATGAGCCACATGATATGATGAGTACAAACCCTGTCCTTTATTATGCTGGATGACATTACAGTGTTGCTAAATTGAGAAAGCAATAGAAGAAAAGGTATGACTGTGATCTCTTGTTGCAGTAGAGTTGTATTTATTTTGATGTATTACATTTAATGTTTTTCCCCCTACATGTATGCACAATATGTATTTGTGAACATCAAACCATTGTTGCTATGATTTCCTAAGGAACGGAGATCAGAGGTGTGATTACTTTTTAAAATATCCAGAGTATGATGGGCTTTATGAAAGTACTTGACAGTGCTTGAGAATGTCTCACACACCAGAGCACTATGAAACTAGAGATAGAGTTTCACACTGCTGCACATTTTGCTTGATCTTCAGTGGCTCACATCAATGGTATTAACAAGTCTCTGTCTCTGAAAGGTGCTGCCATGGACATGACTGCTGTTACGACTTTGCAAAACGACAAGGTTGTAATCCCATAACGGAGAGATATAAGTGGACTTGTCAGGACAATGCTGTGGTATGTGGTAAGGTACAACTTGAATGTCATTATTTTTATTTACATTATCTCAGAGAGGCACAAGTATGTGCAGATGTTCTAGAGGTGAAGAATTCAGCTTTAATTTCAGAATGT